AAATGTCTGTTACAGGCTTTTTGATGCACCTTGGCCATATTCAGTCATTTATTAGGGAACCGTAGCACATCTTGTCATTTATAAACTGTATAAAAATGTCCACTGCAGCAGACGCATTCTAAACCACCAGAAAAAGAGCCTTCCCCCAGTGTAGTGGAAGGGATACCGCCATGTACAAAAGACCCACACCAACAGCTTCCTGCCATTCCTAATAAGAAGTCTGCACCGAGCAGGGATAACATCACCTTGTCAAAATTCGTGGAGGAGAGAACAACATCTATTCCCGAAATCCAGACCATCCAGCCCCACAAGACCCTGAGCACACCATCGGTCTGGAGGAGATCCTCCTCTGCAAGAAGAAGCCAGGTTTTGGATGCGCTACAGACGATTGACTCCAACAGAGGAGCACCAAAAGACAATCTCATGGGTATTTGAGCAGGGAATCATTTTCCGATGGTTTTTACAGGCAGGGGGCAGGCAGTCCCCTGGCTTCAAAGAGCTTAAGACATCAGTCTACCAACACAGGGAATGGACGTAGGAGGAACAGTAAGAAGGCCAGTATATGGCTGGATCAGACAGTGCAGAGCTGTGTGCGGGGCTTGAGGTAAAAGGTGTAAATAAAACAAGGCTGGAAAAGCTAGTAATCTCATGGGAGTGATAGAAAGCTTTTAGAGTTTGTCAGTAACAGGAAGGAGTGGAGACATGATGGGTAAGACTTGTGTGCTGGGGTTAGCCAAAATCACTTTGGCAACTACTGCAGGAAAGAGAAAAGGAGGGAAAACAGGAATTCGGCACTTGTTACAAATCAGTTTGCAGTGAGAGTGGTGTGGGGGCAGCTTTTAGATACAGTATCTGGTGGTATTTGTGAGTGAAGAGAAAAGAGGAGTTTGACCTGATAGATGTGGGGAGAAGAGATAAATGGCAACATTTGGCTGGATGTATCGAGCAAGAAAGTGGGGGAGAGAATGCCTTGAAGTGAGTTGGGTGACTAGAAATAGAGAAGATATCGGTGGTTAGGGAGGTTTGGTTTTCTCTTTGTTGATTGTTTTATCCAAAAAATGTTCATTTATGTTCTGTTTGAATGAATTTTATTTGTATTAATTGTTGGTTACTTTCCTTAACAGTTGTACACTCTTGGGCAGATGTGGTGAGATTAGGTACTAAAAAAACCACAAGCACACGTTGTTACAAAACATGGTCTTGAGAGAAGGATAATAAAAAAGCAGAAGAGATTAACCCCCAAGGTCAAGGTACATTACAGAAATGTGGAGATCATTTTTACGTGTGTGTGTGTGTGTGTGTGTGTGTGTGTGCGCGTGTTATACATATACATAATACATGTGTGTATATACATATATATCATCATGTGTATTATACATTTACATTTGTGTACTTAGGAATGTCATCTGAGCAAACATTAAGAAATACTGAATTTATTTTTGGAAATGTTTCTTTTTCCTTTACAGAAGAAGCCTGCAAACCACTCACAGAATCACTTTAGCACAAGCTTCGCAAACTCTCCCTGCACCCTAGTGATTGGCAGAGCTCATACTGAAAAAGTGACCGAGCCTGTATGGCCCTGTATGATGCTGAACAACTTTGTTTTAAACCCTAAGATGGATATGAATGAGGATTTCGCAGGTGAAAGAGTGTGCACAGAAGGCCATGAGAATGTCATGCAGTGTGTTTGTAGATGCACAATTTTAAAAGAGCTGATAGAAGTGCTCCCCACCTCCTTACAGAAGGGGGAGCGTGCATTCTTGAGAGGTCCTGGCCAATTGTTGTGGTCGGATCTGGTGGGATAGCCTATCTTTTCAGCTACAAACAAACCAGCCCCATGATAACTCTGAGTTGGCATAGTTATGCCTCTGGGCAGGGCTAGGCTGTATCTTGCGGTATATGGTCGGGAAGAATAAAGGTGGTTGTGAAGCAACAAGAGAAGCAGACAGACTGGCCTAAATGCCAGTCAAGAACTGAAAGCCAGTGGAAGGAAGCAGGAAAGGAGAGTTGAGTTTGCAGCCTAGGTTGGGGGCCTTGGACTTTGAAAAGAAATCATTATGCCTAATGAGCAGAGGGAGTCTGTTGCATTGTTTGAAGTAGGAATGAGAGTCAAGAGTTTGCATCTAGATTGATTGCATGCCCGGGATTTTGAGAAGAGATCTCTTTATGAATAGAATGGAAGGGGACTCTGTCCCATTGTTTTCTTGTTGGAAGAGGGTGGAATATGACTTTTTTACTTTTAAAAAATACATATCTGTAATATATACAGTACATACGCATATATGATGTTCTATGTTTTTATTGCATACATTAATGTTACTTATTTTCTTCATTAATAGAATTACCAGGCATGTTTGAAACCTCCATCAAAAAGTAAACTGCAAATGTGTCTCCTGAGATTGGTAGAGATTTACACAATTCTTCAGGAGATGAAGACTCTTTAGAACGTAGGTTACATGATGACTCTAGTGCTTGGTTTTTCTTTTTTTCTTCTGTGAAACTTTGGAATGGCAAGTTATGATTTGCCCTTGCCATGCCAGTAGAGGTTTCATGAGTTGCTATAGCTAACCTTCAACCCAAAGGGCTGGTCCCTCACTGAATCACAATGACATAACCTATCCATGTAGAATTTTTACTTTATGATGAATAAGGAGAGCTAACATCTAAACGTAGTTCAGACATTCTTGTGATGTGACAATTTAGACATTTCTTATAAGTTATACTTAGCAACTATACAAAGAATCTTTGACTTCAATCTCCCCCATCCAATTGCAAGTCTTGTCAGTTCTCTCTCCAAGGATAAAGGGATGTATCCCTTTTTTCCTACTACAGTGGCCAGCACTCTACTTCTAGGCCCTAATTGCCTCTAGCCCTTAACTGTTAAAATAACTTCCTAATTGGCCTCCTCTCCACAATCCTTCCCTTCATACAGTTTTCAACGTTATTTTCCTAAAGTGCAGATCCAACCCATAGTAATTAGTATGCCCAAGAATCTTTAGTTGGCTTCCTCGTCCTTTAGGACTAAACGCAAACTCCCCAAACTCACTTTATTTCATATTGCTCTCCTTCATGTACTCTGTATTCCAACCAAACTAGCCATAACTTAAAGGTATATATGTCTATATATTATATTTACATGTAATGCAACATATCTATCTATATTTATGTGTCTATGTATCTATCTAGTTATATCTAGATATATATATATTTTTAACCTGGATAGGCACAGATTTGCATCATCTTACTAAATATTATTATCATTGGCCAGGAAAACACAAGACTACAAAATAATAATTTGGGTAGACCTTTAATTCATAAAGAAGAATTAGTCCCTAGACTAGTGAGTGGAGGCATAGTCTTTGTTTCATAATTATCTTTATTCTGTCATTTATTACAGCAGAGAAACTGATACGTACTATTCCTAACACAGTGGAACAGCTATATGGCCAGAGCATGATATGCTGCCCTGCAAATGAAATCATTCAAACCCTAAAGAAGATCCCTGAAATTGGAAGTGGTGAAATAACAAAGATGCCACTTCAAGAAGTCGATGTAGACCCCAAAATATTAACACCCAATATTTCACTTTTGAAAAACACTTGTACATCAAAGGAAAATAGATCAACACCACATCTTAGCAGAATTAAAAAAACAGCAGCACTAGATCAAAAAGTTACATACGTGGAAGAAAAATTTGAAAGTGGAAATGTGGAAGATCTGACCACCAGGAGACTGATAAGAACGCCTAAGGAAAGGGAAGAACATTTAATAGAAGACGTGAAAGTTGTCAAGAAGTCTGGTAAAACATCACAGAAAAAATGTGATCCAGAATACTCAATGAGTATTGAGAAGTTATATGAAATACCCAAAATAGAACTAATAGAAAACACACCAAGCAGCCTAGGGAAACTTAGAGGAGAACCCAAAAAAGTAGAAGAGCTTCCAGGTCATAGGAATATGACAGTTCATAAGGAAAAGGCAAAAGCAGGAGAAAACTTTTTTAGGAGGTTTTTAGGAGGTTTCAGGAGAGTTTTCAAAACATCAAAAGTAAAACCAGAAGATCTAAAGAGATTCAAACTGATGGAGAATGCTAGACCTAAAACTGATACTGATGAAAAAACAAAAGTTAGTGATTCAGTTAGTGAAATAACATCTCACACACAATGAAATGAAAAGAAGGCACCAAAGGTCTTAAAAGAAATGAAATTGAAAAAAAGAATTGAGAATAAAGGAATGATGGTGTTTCGTTCTAGGAATAAAAAGGAAATATTTCCTAGGCAGTCAGATATGACATTCTGAAATAGTGAAAAGGAACCTTTTAAGAATTTTCCAGGTTTGTTAAAGAGTCAAAAGGCAATACTGCACCCTAGAAACAGAAATAAACCTATGGAGCAAGTAAATTTGAGTTTGAGTGAAATCAATGAGTTACACACAGAAAATGAACAAAAAAGTATCAAAAATTTGCAGGGGAAGACCATTGTGACTGAAGATGGACTGGCTTCAAGAAAGAGAAGCAAGTTAAATTTGAAAAAGAAGATATGCATAGAGAGTAAGGAAAAGATACCACCTAAGAGTTTCACAGTTCATGAAAAGGTGGAATGTTTAACATCTAGCAACATACTTAAGTCTGCTAAGGAACCACAAGAGCCCAATTTAGGTTTACCGACTGAACTATGTAAGACAGAGAATGAGGAGAAGAAACTTAAAGATGCAAGTGCCAATATAGGGATGATGACTTCGAAAACCAGAGGCAAAAATAAAGTAGATACATTGTCCAAGGAAACAAAGAAACTGCACAAGAGCTTCCCGGAGAAGTTTATGTCATCAAGATCACATAAAAAGGAAACAGAAACTCAAGAGAGGATATATATGGAGTGTCTAGGGAAGAGTCTCCTGGAGAAGAATGCAGTGAAAGTCCATGTCACAGGTCTTGACCATCTAGAAGTAGGGGCATTAGATTACTCCATGCTGCCAGGGTGGCACCTGAAACAAAGGTAGAAGAGCCAAAGAAGCCTGCGAAAGTTCGTAAGACTGGATTAAAGTCTAGTGGCAAAAAGAAAAAGAATAGAGGCCTGAAAGGATCTAATGCTGTATTAACATCTAGGAACATAGAAAAGGATGGCAAATGCACAGGTATTTGCCCGGATATCTTTCAAAGTTCATTGGTACCTCAAGGAATTTTATGTTTAACTAGAAACAGAAACAAACAACCTCAAGACATTCATCGGATACCTAGTCTAAAAAAGATCATTGAAAAGCAGCTTCCAAGCCTGGAAAATAAAGCCCAGGATAGAGTGCAAGAATCCTTTAGAATTGGAAGCCGAAATGGAACTGACGAAGAAATCTATAGTACTCCTTTGCTGAGGGCCATGGAGATAGCTTGCGCTGAGAACAAAAATAGAGCTATGATTGAACACCAGTTACATTGAAGGTCTACTCAGAAGAAGCAGACACAATGCAGAATAGATAGGATTTAATCTTTTGTCAAAGGACATCTTACCTTTGGGTAAGGTTGGAAAAGCAACTGTTCTCCAGATTCTTCCTAACAACGAGAAAGCAGGCAATACAGATCTGCAAAGATCTGCCAATCTTAGCAAACATGACCCCTCCACCACAGCAGGAGAATCAACCCCAGAAAAAGTCTCAAATTGGAAGAAAACTTTTTACACTACTCTTTTCAGAAAGAGAATAAAATCAAAGACACCTAGCAGTATACTGTTCGAGCCAATTGATGTTGGAAAGTATAGCCCAGAGAGTCGTCTCCTAAAATCTGTCCCACCGGTCGGTGACAATTTAAAAGAAATCCATTCAGAGCCTTCTTTGCTTACAGAACCCAGCAGCAGTGCTGTGTTAGAAAATAACAAAAACCAGACTCAAGAAAAGGTCACTGAGGAACCCATAAAATTAAGTAATGACCAGGAGTTTTTGAACTCATGGAAAACAGGAAAACACAACTTAAGCAGACCAGACCAGCTACCAGGAGTTCAAAAGAGGTATGATGTCACATTTTATGATGTTTCTTTTTAATGGGCATATCACATGTTTTGCTAAATTTCTCAATGGTTGAAGTTCAGCTCTCAGTATTATATAAGATAATCTAAAAAGCATTTACATGACTTTGGAATGAAGTGATGTGTGTTTGCTCTCTAAGGCAATTTAAATAAAATATAATGCGAAACCCTTTTTTCTATACCAATCTTTACCTTATTCTGTGTTGAGAACACATATATGGTCAACTTTTCCAGAACAGATGAAACAGATCTTGTCTCTGTCTTGGGGCAGAGGAGTGCCTAAGTGTTTGGAATATGTTGAGCTTCCTCCCTAACCTAACAAAGCAAAAATTTTAAATGAGCACTGTAGGGCAGGGAGGTAACCAAGTTTGCTTTTAGTTTTGTTATTCTGAAACCAAAGTGAAGAGCAACGATTTGTTATGAATGGTAAAACATTGATTCTTTTAGGTACAGTATAATGCCTTGTTTATCCAAGTAGTATCAGATTTGGATAGTAGAAGCTAATTTTACAGATCACTGAACCCTCACTCTGTCCTTTAAGCACTAGCTTTTTTTATTTTGTTTTAACCACTTTAGATAGAAACCTTGCTAAAATCTATTACACACTTCTCTGCTTTCTAAAGCTGAGTATTCAAAATGTAATTTAACCTTTTCTTGATGAGTAGTAGTCATCATTATGAACATCAATTACTATGCTGTAATATAATGATATTTGCAGACCCACAATCATCCCAGGCTCTTCATTGTCAGCGATACCTTTTTCTTACTGTCATTTGCTTTCCTTCTCCCCTTTTCCCCCTCCCCCAACCTCCTTGGCAGCTATAGAAAACTATATAACTAACCTGTTACAATTGTGGGTAAAGTAAGCAGACTCTCTGGTCCCTCTGTCTTTAGGGTTCTCACACCTGTTCTAAAGAGTTGAAGGCCCCAGATGGATGAGATTGTTTTGCCCTAAACTATTTACATTTTAAAGCACCTATCCTGAAAGCCTTAATAAGCATCACTTAACTTTAATTTATAGTTACAATTCCCCAGGTATTCAAAAGGAACTTCCTCACCTTATTATTTAAATAATTGTTGTTGTTGTAAGAATAGTGAGGAATTTTCGTGTACTATTCCATAATCTTTCTTCTACCGATTATCTTACAGTCACACCGTAACTCAATTGATGGCCTTTGGGCCCTTACTTGCTTACAGAGGGAGGGCAGCTTATCTTGTGGTACGATCTTGGCACTTTGTTTGGCTGGTCCACAGGCCACCTCCACACACTGTTAAGTCCTTCACTGGGTCTAGATTCAGAACCTTTGAATTGAGTGAAACCTGGCCCAGTTTGTGGCACAGAGATGACTTTCCAGAGCCCTCTGGTCACTGTAGTAGGATTAAAGCAGAGGGAAACCAGACTCTTCAATTGACCTAATATTAGAATATAGCACATTTGTCAGAAATAAGAATTCAAGTGAATGTTGCATTATCTTGAATTTCACGATGAAAAGTGTAACTTAGGCCTCTCATCATATGAATTTGGACATTCTGTGCGTGTGAATTTGTTTCTATATTTTATCCATTTTGACCCAGTGTAGGATTCTTTAGTTGAAAGCCAATGCTTTTTTGAATTTAGCATTTCCTTCAGCCATTTCAAAAATGATATGAAGTTATATAAGTCCACATATCAACAAACTGAGAGGTTTACCCCAGTGTAGCTTGTGATCGATTATGTTAAATAAAATGTTTAAGTTAACTTGTGATTTGTCTTGCAGATCTTTCCTTTTTCATTGATTTGAAAAAGAAAAAAAATATTAAACCTAAACTGAACAGGTTCTTGTAGAATTTTTGCAGAAAAGAAGACTAGCATATGGGATCTAATAGGAAATTGGGTTTCAGGTACTGTGGTTAGATAATGGGATATTGCTCTAGTGTTTCTAAATAACTTTGTAATTGGAAATGCCATTACATCTGTCTGCTGTGAATCCATATGTATACAAGATAAATTATTTACATATGTCTATCTTGTGTTCTTTGTTCCAAATCCAGGCAACAAAGAAAGTGAAGACAGCAAAAATGATGGTCATCTTAAAATAGTAAAATATAATTTTAAGGCATATAATTTTAAGTGAATATAATAAAATAGTTTGATTGTCACAAAATTTCAAGTTATTTTGTAAATGGGGCAGTGAATGACAATGTTCAAGGCAATGAACATTCGTTTTTTGTTTGGGGTTTTCTTTTTAGCAAATGTAAACTTCTTTTCATTAAATGTTTTTCTTCATAACCTAAAAACTTTTTGTGTGAATTCACTGAATTTACTTACTCATGGTTTTGTGGTAAATAAATTATACACAGAATGTATACACATGCATTTTTATGGCAGTCCCAATGTTTCTCCACCCCTTGCAATGATTATTTTATGAAACATAATCTATCTTATCTTGTTTCATTTGTTTTCTCTCTACCAAACGGCAAAAACTGTTGGGGGGGGAAGTTGTTTTTTTTTTCCAAACACTGGCTTTTTCAGATTTCACTGTAGTAAGTTTTGTTTAGACAGTGTCCAATTTTGAAAATTCTAGAATGTCGACAACACGTGGGCCTGCCATTTGAAACTCAGAGATTCGACCTTGTTCCAACTCTTTAAGGCCTAACTTGGCTCATTTGGCTGTTGGATATTTGAAGGCTTAATGTAGCAGTATTCATAAGCAAAAACTGCTTTGGGAGGGGAGAAGGGGAGGAGTTTCCATTTTCACAGAAGCCAGCCTTGGGCAAGATTCTTATGATTATAGAGGATTGTATGGGATATGAAATTAAAGGCTTGAATAGAAAAAAGGTAGATTACTGGTACCTTGAGCCATCCCAAAGACTGTAGCAGGGTTCTTGTGGATGTTGACTGACTGACTGCATCTTTCCAGTGAAAGGCGGGAGGAATAATGGCTTCTTACCCTGGAATCAGAATGCTCAATCCTTCATTTTATCATAGAAGTGTATCTTCTTCTCATCATGCCTTTTGGAACCACAGAGTAACAGAAGAACCCAGGTTTATCTTGAGCGTATTATTGAGCGTACGTAACTAAAGCCAGTCAATCAACTTGTGCCAGGGATTGCTTAGCCCTGGGAACTTAAAATTTGGAGGCCAAAGTCTGGCCCTGCCTACAAGGAGCTCCCAGTCTAAATGACTGGAATTTAGTTGAAGCCTAGGAGGCCAGTAGTGAGAGAGAACATTCCAGGTATGTGGGGGTAGAGGGGAGGAGACAGCAGGTACCCAGAGCTGAGATGGGCATTCAGAGAGGAAGGAAGGGTGTCCCCAAACCCAGAAGAGAGTGATCTCTGTAGCGTCAACAGCTCCTGAGAGGTCAAGGAGAATGAGGCTTGTGAAAGGCCCAGTTATTCCCCTATCTCTGCATACCTACAGAAATATCTTGTCTCTCAAATCGTCTACTTTTCCCCTCCTATGACATTCACAGATGCCTCATCCCTTCCCACATCATTTAAGCAGTGGTCCCAAGATCTATGTTCTAGGGCACTGCCTATAGGGCGTTTGGGATACAAGGAATAATCCCAATATTTGAGGAGCTTACATGCTAATGGGGGATACGGGTGTGTAAAACTGCACATAGCGTAAATATAAAACTGATGATCCCATGGAAATGCATTCAAGGTCGTTTTAGAGGAATGGTACCAGCAGCTGGGGACTATCAGGAAAGGCTTCATGCCAAGATGGGAGGAATGAGGATAAGGGAGGTGGTGGGCAGTAAGCAGCAAGGCACACTTGTTTGGCTGACTTACCACGTGCTGGAGGGTCAGTAATGGCCAATGAGGTGGTGAAGGGTTTTAAAGCCTTAAAGAGTTTGTCTGTAACCCTAGATGTTAATAGGTGACCACTGTAGTAGGGGACGTAAAGGAGTCACATCAGGTCTGTGCATAAGAAAAAATACTTTTGGAGAAATTTATACAATGACAACACAGGAAACCACTTGAAAAGTCTTTATAACCAGTGATAAACTGAGAGAACACAGGTAAAACTGGCCACTCACCTGACAGATGATGAACTTATGGGGTGCTAGAGGGCACCATAGTGCACAGTGCAGGGCTTGGAGTCAGGAAAACTCCCCTTCCTGAGGTCCAAATCTGGCCTGAGACACTAGCTGTGTGACCCTGGGCACTTAAAGTCACTTAACCCTGTTTGCCTCAGTTTCCTCATCTGTAAAATGGACATAAGAATGAAAGTCACCCTCAGGAAGAAGATCAAATGAAATCATATTGTGAGGTTCTTGGCACAGTGTCTGGCACATAGAAGGCTCTGGATAAATGCTTATTTTCTTCTTTCTTTCTGGTAACTCTTTCAAAAACAGCAAACAGAACTAGTCCGGGAGATATTTTGCTCTATTATGTTGGTTCCCTAGATCTCCTCACTGATCATAAGTAGTGATGACAACAGTAAAAACTGTTTCCTTTCATAGAGTATTTTGAAAGCATTGCACTTTTCAAAGTGGTTTTGCATTTATTATGTTATTAGACCATTAGAGCAATGCTGTGAAGAAGGTAGTTCGAGTATTCTTATTCCCTTTTTACAGATTAGGAAAAGTGTGATACAAAGAACTAAGTAATTTGTTTAAGGCAGAAAAGACAGATCCTGGACTCAAGACTCCTGGCTCCCAGCCCAGTGAATTTTGCTACTTACTTTGCTCTGGGTCTCTGAGTCTTCATCCCTAAAATTAGAGGATTAGATTAGATGTTCTCTAAGATCTTTTCCAGCTCTAAAAATGAAGACTCTACGAATGCTTTATGGAAAGACCATGGTCTTGTAGCCTCAAAGAAGAGACTATGACCATATTTATATAGAGAAGAAAAGATAGCCTTCTTCTTTAACCTTAAAATTAGCAGTAGAATGACTGTGAAATCACTCGCTTTGAAATTCAGGGATTTCAAGTATTTATTGGCATGTTTAGGACACTTATGAAGCTATTAAGAACTTGGAAAATGAAGACATTTTTCTCTTAGAGCAACAGAAAGATGGGCAGAAGAGCTGGGAAGAATGTCCACCTGATTTGCTTCACAAGGAAGAGCAAACGACTACAAGAGACCAATCCCCATTCACCCGGAACTTGCAAACTA